GTTATGTCTCAAGGCACTAACGGTCTTTCTAAATTGTCTGTTTTATTTTCCGTGCCCTGGGGTGTTCTGCAATGCCACCATATGTGGCCTACAGTACCAGATTTCCAACACTTTACAGTTACTTACTTTGTTCTCACTGCTACTCCATATCAAAGTGTCAACTTGTCTGGATAAATCATCTAAACGAGCCATCAATTGATCCACTGGCTCGCACAGCTCTACGAGTTGCTTGCTGGACTGCCTCGAATTTCACGGCATACAACAGAGCGCTTTTTAAGTCCTTAACATCCACCATTCGCAGAGCTTTCTGTATTTCAGGATCCTGGATGCCGTCGATAAAGTACTGCAAGGACAGGATTTTCCTCGTTTCTCTTGGGCACTCCGTAAAGGTGAGGTGGGACAGCCTTTCAACATCTGTGGCGAGCTCCTGAAGTGTTTCAGTGGGCTTCTGTTGACGGGATTTTAATTGAAGCCTGTAGTCTTTTAAACACTTCTTGCCAAAGTACAACTCCGATGTGCTGAGAAAAGCTTCGAAATCTAGTCTTTGGATAGTCTGAAGGATATCCACAGCGTCTGCTCTCAGAGAAGCGGCGAGATGACAGGCCTTAGCTTGGGAATCCCATCCATTCATCCACAACTGTAGAAAATTGTGTCTTATATACTTGCCAGGAGGTCTTCCCATCGTATGTGGATAACTTCAGAGACGGACAATCAGGCATCGATAAAAATTTAAAACTATAAGAACTGCTCCCTGCCATTGCTACGATCTTCTTTAAAGTATCAACTTCTTTTGCATCTGCTGAAACCCTATCATCAATTTGTTGTTCGATGACAGAAACGCCTCTTCTATATGTTCTTTTGCAGAAGAAACTCTTCTATTTCTTCTTTCACCGCAGAAACTCTTTCTTCAATTTGATCTTTTACAGAAGAAACTTTTTCTTTAATATGTCCAATTTTATTTTCAACCACGTCCATTCTGTTTTCCATAGCCTTAAATTGGTTTTCCATTATGCAGGTAATTTCTCTTTTCATTTCATCTTGACCAGCTTCAATCTTTTCTTGACGAGCTTGAACGGCTTTCATTTTTTCCGTAACGGATTCTTGGCCAGCATCCATCTTCTCTTTCGTTTTTTCTTTAAACGAGGCAAAGGTTGATATCAACTGCCTTAATTGCTCTTCTATCGCTCTTATTATTGGCATTCAAACCCACTCCTGACACCTGACACCAAAAAGTTTTGCGTGTGTGCGGGTTCGTTTGAATTGAATGCACAAATGAGATGAAAACGAACAAAATTTATTATTATCACAACAAATAAAACAAAATGCTTCAATTTCCTCAGATATTTGTACAGTATTACAATATCTCCCAGTAGTTATCTTTTAACTACTCAAACGTTCAACAGAACTTAATTCAAAACAGCTGGAGAAAGTTAATCCGTGAATTCGCTACAGTTAACAAGAGCAGTTTTCTAAACAACTAACTAAATAAGGAATTGAGAGGTTTTCATGCCGCTTATATAAGCCTTTTTAAATGTGCGAGAATTTTCTCTTATTTGCTCGAAATCAAAAAAGAGATATTTACAGGGGTTGGACAAAAATATGGAAACACCTTTAAAAAAACATGTTTCTTTGCTTAATATGGTGTAGGAAACCCGTTGGCATCCAAAACAGCTTGCAGTCTTCTCAGAATGGATAAATACAGTTCCTGTGTGTTTGCCAAGGGAATATTATACCATTCTTCCTGCAAAACAGTGGCAAGTTCAGATAACAATGTTGGCGGTGGATAACAAGACCCACTTTTCGTTCCAATGTAGACCACAAAGGTTCGATAATATTCAGGTCTGGTGACTGTGGTGGCCAGAGGAGATGGGACAACTCATCCTCGTGCTCAGAAAACCAGTCTTGGACAATGCGAGCTGTGTGAACAGGGGCTTTGTCGTCTTAGAAGACACCATCACCATCGGAGAACAAAGTTTGTACCATGGGATGAACTTGATCGGCCAAAATGTTCACATAAGTCTTGGCAGTCATGTGCCCTGACACAGTTATCATGGGGCTAGCAGAGAACCACGATATGGCTGCCCAAACCATAACAGAACCCCTGCCATGTTTCACTCTTGGCAACAAGCAGTCTGTATTATAGGCTTGAGATGGCGTTCTCCAGACTTAAACTTGGCCAGAAGTGGAAAACAATGTGAAAGAAGACTCGTCAGACCATATTACTCGCTTCCACTGCTCTATAGTCCAGGCTTTATGACTTAAACACTACCTTTTCCTGTTACGTGCATTAGCATCACTGATGAGTGGCTTCTCAATTGCAGCACGGCCAGCAACTCCCTGTTTATGAAGCTCCCTTCTAATTGTTTTGCTACTCACAGGGTTCGGTAACACAACATTCATTTCAGCAGTAACTTTTGCAGCTGTGGCAGGGTTCGTAGCGGTCCTTACAAGTGCTTATAAGTCCTTATATTTGAAAATAAAATATAAAGGCCCTTATAGGTGCTTACGTTTTCTTTAAAGCCCTTATTTTTTTTGTTTTTCGTGCTTATTTTTTGCTTTTAGTGCTTTTTTTAATGAACGCGCATTTTTCCCCCCGTACCAAAGCCGAAACTAAATAAACAACTTTTCTTCCTTATATGGAACGTCAGATGGTGAATCATACTCCCGTAAAGAGCTTTTTCCCCTTTCTCTGCATTAACGTAAACTATGGTGAGCGCAAGAGTACAGACAGGTGCACGTCGTAGAAAATTCCGGTACATTCGGTATTCTTTTTCTCCCACCGAAATACTACACACTTTTGAATTTCTATCAAGATTTTAATAATTTACATTCTCGTTCCGCGTGTTCACTTCATATTCGTGTTTATTATGATCGTTATGCTTATATTATGAGCATATGTATGAATATTTATTATAATATAGTTGCAGTAGTTGCTGAAGTTTAGATAAACTTCCAAAAGTGGGTTTATTTTTACACAGATTAGCTTTCTAAGGAATAATATTCGGAATGGCTTAAATAAAAGGAAAGTAATCAAATAGTCAGAATAATTTCTTTTCTCTCTCTTTTTTTTTTTTTTTTTTTTTGGCCAATACATTATACAGTACGGAGGTTGGGAGGTTCTCCCCTTTCTCCGCAAAATCTCTAATATTGAAGCAGCAAACTTTCTTTTTTTTTTTTTTTTTTTTTTTTTTTTTTTTGTCACTGTCCAATCTGGATTGAATAGGACTAGAAGTTTTGCGGTCTACCCAACCCAAGCGAAGAATAATTCTGTTCCGGAAATTTAACGGTCTGAATTAAGAAATTATAATCAAAAACATCCCAGATTAGTAAGTCTCTTTCTTTTCCTTTATTTAGTTCTTTATTCTCCGAATACCGGCAGCTGTTGATTCCGATTGCGTAATATCACGTATGGAAGAATTACGCCACACGTATTGCGCAATAACATTTGTGGTATTTTGCAGATAATTAATTTTGATGTTCAGTCTGAGATTTATTTATGAACACTTTGAGTTTTACTGTTCTTTCTAAGCAGAATATTTCTCAGTTCCATTGGTCTATTTTTATATGATGCACATATAGAAATGTCAAAATCATTTATTTAGCCAAGAAATCTAAAGAACGGCTACCATCTCCCCCCCCCCTCTTTTTATTCGGCAATTTCCGAGTATGCGGGTTAGTTAAGCTTTTATTGTTAAAGGATGACTACATGAAGCAACTTCCCGTCTCCTGATTTCAGAAATGTTCCTCCTTTTTACTTAAATTACTTTGCTTGGAATATATGTTAAGGAAAAACTGTTATGCAATGAAAATTTAGAAAACGTTCAGAATTTTTATTTAAGTTAAATTGTTTAAATATTAATATGAGTGGAAAAATAAATTGTATTTATTATTAGGTGCCAAGCGAATACAAATAATATGGCTTATTATTATTTATTTTCTATATTTTGAACTGAAATTTCATCATTAAATCTTGTAATATAGTTTAGTTCTGCATAGTTCTTTTTTTCTCTCATTGTAAACTAATTCTGTAAATTGAACTGTCATTTAAAATTTAAAAAAAAAAGTTGTTTTCCATGGTTGAGGTAATGCTCATTCTCTTAATAAATATTGCATTGCTCATATTTTAAATTGCAAGTCTAATTTTTCTTTTAAGGTTTATGCAGTTGTGTATAATGTAATTAGACAGGTGCTTATTTTTTTCTTAAAATGTGCTTGAAAAGTGACTATAAGTGCTTATTTTTTTAACTAAAATGTGGTCTTATTTTTCGTCACAATTGCCCTTAATGATCGTCTGTCACGATCACTCAGGACACACTTTCGTCCGTGCTGTGATTTAGCAGATGATGTTTTTCCGCTTTTCAAATATGCGGAATAAATCTTCGATACAATACCTCTTGAAACACTAAACACCTCGGCTGTGTAACACTAAACACCTTGCTTACGGAAGCACCTACCATACGTGCTCCAACAATTTGCCCACGTTCGAAGTCTGTTAACCCTGACATAATGCAATGACAACCTCACATAACAGTACTCCGACAACAACTGAACTGTTTAGTACATTTACGAAGTTGTATAGGTGGCGTCAGTAGTAAAAAATGCCAGCGCCACCTACATATTTCATTAAAATCAATCTTTCTTTTCAAACATGCATTTCACAAGGTGTTTCCATATTTTTGTCCATCCACTGTAGTTATTAAATGTTAAATGCACACAATCTTGTATTTTTAATTTTCCGTCTTAGCTTTCTTTTAATATTCGTCACACACTGCACTGTGCAAGGAATAAAACAATTTTATTTATAATTCTACTAAGTTAACTAATTAAATACCAAATCTGTAACAATACAACAAATTTTGGTATTAGAATTTTCTTTCTCTTTATCTATTATATATTTCATTTTAGATGCTTTAGCTCTTCCAACTAAAGGGTAGCAAAAATGTAAATGAATATTTTTGTGCGTAGTTTTACTTTTTTTTAAATTGGTATCTTCTTTCTAGATATATACTGCGTGGTAAAATATGTAATGGTAAAAAAATTCAGTTGAGATTTGAACTAGAAGTATGTCAGCTTCCAAAACATCAGCTTGCTGTTGGTGTCAGACGTAAAAGACTGGAAGGTGATGCTTGGTACTATAAAAAAGTCTGTGAAGAAATACTTCGTCTTGCACTCCTGGATAAAAGCAGTTTATCTACAGATGTCTGAAGGTCTTCAGTATTTCAGACTGTAAGTTAAGGTATTGAGATGTTTGAGTTTGTAGTGGCCCAGTTATTGCATGAGAAATAATTATTTTTTTATTTCATATATTTGTTCATGTGTTTAATTATTTTATAAAATTAACTTTAATATTTTGTTAATATTCATATTTATATTTTTTTTATGCTGAATGGCAATAAGTAGTTCATATTTATATTTAAATTTCTTTATGCTGAATGGCAACTAGTTCTAGTTCTGATTCACGATTGCTAGGTTTTGGTTTCAAAACGTTGCTCGTAGCGTCGCATTTCGATAGCCGGAAAATAAAATGCAATAACTTAGCTATTTGTTTATAATTTATGTTCATGTGTTTAATTATTTTATAAAATTAACTTTAATATTTTGTTAATATTCATATTTATATTTCTTTTATGCTGAATGGCAATAAGTAGTTCATATTTATATTTAAATTTCTTTATGCTGAATGGCAACTAGTTCTAGTTCTGATTCACGATTGCTAGGTTTTGGTTTTAAAACGTTGCTCGTAGCGTCGCATTTCGATAGCCGGAAAATAAAATGCAATGACTTAGCTATTTGTTTATAATTCATGCTGTTCCTAGTCATAAATTAATTTTAAACATTAGTAGCCAAGGCTACAAGTTATATTTAGTTTAAATGTATTTTTAATTTAAACTAGTTTTTATTTGTAATGATTACAAAAGTTGTTTGAGTTTAAAGTTTAAAGAAATTATTTACTATTTAATAGCATTGATCTGTGCCATACTTTTACTCATTTAATTAAATCAAAGACTGCCTTAAATGTACATATTCAATTTTACTCTCCACTCCTGTAATTAAATTGCAACTGTGGGAAACCTATGACTCACTCCCGGTCTCAGTGGGAGGAGCAGGTGAGAGGACCGAGTCGTTGCGTTCGTAAGTGGTATGGTATCCACGTAGACACTATCACTTATCCATCCTCCGTATCAGGCGGGAGGAGATGATAACCATTTGTATGATATTAATTCGGTCTTAGGTGCCGTAAGTAGTTTTATGCCAAATAGCTAGGTTAAGTGCGGGTGGAGAGCCTGAGGCTAAGTTTCCATCCGCTTTAACCACCCTACGATCTCATCTGACTGGATGATATTGCTGGGGAGAGATGTATCTCGCCAACAAGTCGTTTTATTTTGGGATCTCAATCACAATCCTCTTGATTTTAATTAACTTTATTAACTTTAATTGAATACAGAGAAAAATAGAACCATATTTACATTATTTACATATTTACATGAGTCGAAGAAAAGTTGAAAAACATAGACTTCGATGTCCTGTAGCATTAATCATAGAGTAAACTTTGGACTTAACAGGAGTCGAACAATTGCTACAAAAACTCTATGAAATGGTGATGGGTGTCTTGATCCGTGACTTTCTTAATGATCTCTCTTATTCCTTTAATTTCTATTGGGTATTTTTCCAAGTGTTCCGTCTCTAAGGAGGAGAGAGAGGGCGGGAACAGACGTTTTCTGTCTGGCGCTGTTAAAGGGCAGGTCTTTATGTAATGAGCTGCGTCCGCGATGCTTCCGCTAGTGCCGCAGGCACATCTTACTTTCTTTTTGTGGAATCTTACTATATAAGATGGGAAGTTGCCGTGATTACTCAATGCTTGATTTTCGTAATCGTTGCTCTTTAATCTTGTTGTTGAGACTTTAGGGAAAATTTTATATGTCATCCGACCTGTTGTACCCTCGTCCCACCTTTCCTGCCATTGAATTAGAGCTTCTTTGTGTAGTCTGTTCTTTGCTACTTTCTCTGAGAGAGGAACGTGTACGTCTACTACTTCTTTGTCTGTCGCCTTCTTAGCCTCTTCATCCGCTCTTTCATTACCCAGCGTCCCTTGGTGGGCTTTAACCCAATTAAGGGACACTTTGTGTGTTGATATGAGCGTATTAATTATCTCTCTTAGACTTTGTATACTTCTCTTTGAGATTTTGCCACTGTTAAGGCTGTGTAATGGGCTCAGGCTATCCGTGAAGAATGCAACCCTGGTGGAGGAACTTGCGTTCTGTCCGGCCCAGAGCAGCGCGCTTCTGAGGGCGTGGACTTCTGCTTGAAATACTGTTGTGTCATTGTTTAGACGTGTCCTTTCTTTGTGTATTTCCTGACTATCTTGGAAGATTACCCATGCGGCTCCCACTTTGTTATGCATTTTGGAACCGTCTGTAAAGATTTCTATGTCTTTATTCATTGGTGGGTCCTTTTCCCATTTAATTCTCTTTTTGCTTCGGCTGGATGATATTGTATTGTAGGGAGCCTGTCCTCTATCTCATTATTACAGATTATTGTGTCTCCCATACTTATGTTTTCTTTATAGTGGACCGCTCTATAAAATTGTGCCTCCATGTCTGCTTTGATATCCAGGGGGATTGTCCCGGCGAGTATTTGAAGCCCTGCCGTAGGGGGACGTTGTATAAGCCTTTGTGATACACAAAAGGGCTATCCTTTGTATCTGGTTTAATTTGGTCTTTACCCTTTCGCTGCCGGTGTACCAGATTGGCCACCCGTATAGTATCATTCTTTCTATTGCTTTTATATATAGTGATTTAAGGAGGTTCCCTTTGAGGTTCCATCTGTGTGAAACCATTCTATTCAGATTATTGATTAGTTTGAGTGTTTTATCCTTTATTCCTGTCAGATGGGGAATCCATGTTAGTTTTTGGTCTAACGTGAACCCTAAGTATTTTAGGTGTTCACATCTTGGGATCGCTATGTTTTCCCATTTGATTCTTGGTGGGGATCTCTGTAATTTATTCCCTTTTGGAAATAAAATGAGCTTTGTTTTCTCAATACTGAAGTTTAAGCTTATATGTGTTGCTCCATTCCTTTATTATACTGAGTGCTTTGTGCGCCTTTCTTTCTATTACTAGTCGGTTCCCTCCTGCTATTATTATTATGAAAGTCGTCGGCATATGCTTGTATGCTTACATGATCTTCAAATTCTAAATTTAGGGCGGTGTCTGCTATTAGATTCCATAAAATTGGTCCTAAATTGGACCCTTGGGGTGCTCCTTTGTAATACTTGTGAGTCACGCAGACCCCGTCTCTATTATATGTAACTATTCTGTCTTGAAGGTAGCTTTTAATTAGCCCGAATATGTTTGAGGGGCACTTTATATCTTGTAATCTTGCTAGTATCCCTGGCCACCACAAGTTATTAAATGCGGAGGCCACATCAAGGGATATCACGCAGGTGTGAAGATTGTTCCTTTTGTTCTCATGGATTTGCGTGACTAAGCTTCTCAGCTCATCTATTGTGCTTGTGTCTGGTGTGAACCCAAACTGCTTTGTGTTGAGTAATTTATTCTTAATTAGGAAGAATGTAAGCCTTTTTGCTAAGAGCTTATCTAGGATTTTGCCCCAGGCTGAAAGAAGGCAAATTGGCTGGTATGCTCCTGGTGTCTCTCTGTCTTTACCCTCTTTATGGAAGAGAACTAAGTTAGCTTCTTTCCATTGTTGGGAAAAATAGCCTCTTTTGAGGCATTCATTTAGTATTCTTACAAAGAACTCCTCATTTGTGAGAAATTATTCTTCTACTATTTCCAATGATAAATCGTCTTTTCCCAGGGCTTTGCCCTTTTTTGTGCTCTTTATTAATTGTCGCACTTCTTCTATTTGAAATCTGGGTCGTCTCCCGAAACGGGGGGGGGGGGGGTGTCTGCTTTATTTCTTATTGTTGTATGGATCTCACTGTCCTCCTCCGCTCTATCCTGTGGGAAGTGATATTCTAAGATCGCCCTTATGGTGTCTTCTATGTTTGAAGTCCAGACTCCCGGACTTTTCTTTATTCTAGAGATCTTTAAGGGGGAGTATGCCTTGCCCTTGACTATGTCATAGAATGTTCCAAATGGGGAGCTTAATCTTAGACTTTGCCAGAAGTTTTCCCACAAGTCTAATTTTGCTTTGAAAATTTTCCTTCTGTAGAGTGCCGCCTCTCTTCTTTTGTCTCAAGTCTTTCTTTCTATGTTTCCTTTTTTCCCCCTTGAGTTTTGGAATTCTTTTCTTAACCGCCTTACTATTCTTCTCTGTTCTGTGAGGTCTTGTGTCCACCACGTTTTACTTTGGTATAACCCTTGGGGATGCTAGCCTTTGTCCCTGTGCGTTTTTGAGGGAGGGCTTTAGGAATTTGAGATATGCTTCTCTTAATTGATGCGTTATTAAGTTTATATTGCTATCTATGTCCTCTGTTTAAATGTACATATGTGAAATACTTCTAAATTCGCTGAAAGCCTGTGTATTAAAACTTACCTGTATTTCTCAGCTTCAAAGTAAGAGTACTTTCATTTTGCAAGCCTCTCTTCTTTGAGATATTAAATTATAATGGAAAACTGTTTTTTACATTTTTAGTTATGAACTCTTCTTTGAGATGATAGACTGTAATCTATCATTTTAATCAGGTGTTAATTTTTTAAGCTTACAATTAGGAAACATTATATATATATATATATATACACAGGGTGTGTCAAAAAATGTATACACACTTTGAACTCTCATAGAAAATTTATTTTCCAACCTACAAGGTTAAATTTCTTGAAATGGTAAGGTTATACTCCAGTTTAAAAAATAAGTGTATTTTCTGGTCAAACTGAATGTTCCAAATGGTGTTTAAGTAAATGTTCAAAATGGTGGTCTTCAGCATTGATACATTTCTGAGTACAAGTTACAACTGATTCCATACTTCACACCAAAGTGTGCAATGGGATTTCTGCACCCACCACTTAGGTATGAGATTCAAGCAATGTGCACAGAAATCCTATTGGACACTTTAGTGCGAAGTACAAAATCAGTCTTGACTCGTACTCAGAAATGCATTGATGCTGAAGATTACTGTTTGAACATTTACTTTAAACACCATTTAGAACATTCATTCTGACTAGAAAGTACACTTATTTTTCAAAAGGGAGTATAACCTTACCATTTTGAGAAATTTAACCTTGTCGGTTGCAAAATAAATTTTCTATGAGAGTTCAAAGTGTGTATACATTTTTTGACACACCCTGTATATATATATATAGAGAGAGAGAGAGAGAGACATTTGTTTTCTAATTTTACATACTCATTTGTTAGTTTATATTTCATTGCTACACATTAAAATTACAGTACCATGCAGGAAATATGCAACAGACCTGAAATTTATGCAATAAGTGCAGCATCTAGTATGCAAATGTTTAAATGCAGCACATGTTCACAACATGTTTAAAAGTAAAACCATAAAAAAACACTTTAAAAGAGGAGAGCAAAGAGGGAAATTTTCCGTGTGTGGATTGATTTTGCTAGCCTTTTTGTGTATAGAACTTTTAAGTTATCTAAGAAGATAAAAAATCAAATCAGCACACTCCAAATCTGGTCATGAAAGAACTGTCGGGCTCTGTTATTACCTATTATCTTAACAGGAAACTGCTCTTGTCTTAGTGCTGATTTCTGGGATTTAGCATTTAACAAATTAGTACAACATCAATGGCCAGACCACACAAAGTGCATTGCATTTGCTGATGATGCAGCCTTTGTAATCAGTGGAAGTTCTAGACAAGTACTGGAGGCCAATGTTAATACCACTCTGGAAAAATTCAACAAACTTTGCAAGCACCAAAATTTAAACAATATCACAGGAAAAATCTGAAGCCATGATATTTCATAAGCCTTCTAAAAAAATAACCAGATTACCGAAATTCCACATTGACAACAACAAAATCAAAATAGTCAAATCATTAAGATATCTTGGGATTACAATAGATAATAAACTTAACTTCATTGAGCACCTACAGCAAATTAAGAAGAAAAACTCCAGTATAGTTAACAACCTGAAAAGAATGCAAGGTGTCAGATGGGGCTTAAACCCCCAGATACAAAAGCTGTTATAGAAAAGATAGCACTGTATGGTGCAGCGATATGGGCGTCACCAATGACGGTGAGAAAACAAAAGGAACTTCAATCCATCCAAGGCCCTTTCTTTTAAATTATTCCCGAGCTTACAGAACAACCAAATGCTGCACTGTTTCAGCTCACCAGCAGCATCCCCCTGTTCTTAGTTACGGAGCAGGAACATGTAAGGCTTAAGTTCTTCAGCTAAGAAAAGACAGCAAAATTTAAAATGAGATAGGAGCTGCCAGCTCCTACACCTCACCGACCCATCTATATGAAAGACACCCAGCTAGCCAAACTAATATCATGCGATGCATAAGGCGAATAGATATCAAGCATTATATCCAAAGATCTATACTGATGGTTCTGGCATAAACAATGAAAAAGGATGTGCTATAAAATATATTTCAGTGACCATGACACAAAAGACTTCAAGTTCCAACTTGATAAAGAGAATAGCGTTTTTCAGTTGGAAATGTTCGCGATTTTGCAAGCAATCAACGTAAGAACACATTATAATTTTCCAAGGAATTACATCTATACAGATTGTCTCTCGGCAATGCATGCACCCGCGAACACAAATAATAGATCACCATTAACTCAGGAAATTCTTAGAAAGTCCTCCAATGCCCAAGGCCAACACTTCTTTATAATTTGGATCAAGGCCCATGTTGGTCATAAGGAAAACAAAGAGGCTGACAAGGAGGCAGCACAGGGAATCAGTGCCAAGAAGATAAGCATCTCCTGGCCAGTTTCTCCCCTCAAACTAAAACTACAGATTACAACTAAAGACTTATGGCAACAATGGTGGGATGCTGCAAATACAGGCAGAAGAGTTTGCAATCTCTTCCCCAAAGTTGACTCTCCTCCAATCCATCTCTCCAGACATATCACGGGGCACGGTCCCTTTCCCACGTACCTCTATGCAAGCAATCTCTCTTCATCAGACTCCTGTGCATGTGGTGAAAAGGGTCACCCCGAGCATTATCTGTTTTCCTGCCCGTTTGCAAATTCCCTTCATCTAAAGAAGCCAAATTCAGAAGAGGATTTATTCCCATTTCTAAGATATGCAGTTAAGAATAAGCACTTGAGGAATAAAATTATAAAGGTCATTGACTTTTTGGCTGCTAGAAGGCAAGAGCTATGTAGTGTTATTTAACCTTCAAAGAAATGCTCCAACAGCAAATAAAGCAATTAAATGCAGATATAATATACACGGGTGTACCTTTATAGGAAAGAAATAAGCACCACAAACCATATGAACCATAAAATAGGTCACTTGCAAGTAGGGTAAGGGGCTCCTATCTGTTTACTTCAGGTAAATAATAGATGACCCCTACATTTCTATGTAACATAAGGTCACCAATTACCTGATAAGTGAACACATATAAGAAATAGCCAGCATTGATTGGTAAAGTATCAACAATGTAATGTATCATAGAATCATGTAAACTAATTATTGTAAAAACACACGTAATTGCATACAATGAACTGACAAAAATAAGTTGGCAATGCATCAGCATAGGTATGCAGATATATCTAAAAGTAGCGTAGTACGCATAAATATGCAGATGAAGCTATTTTTTCTTTTGTTTTCAGACTTATTTATTTATGTCTTTTTCTATTATTTTATATTCTTCTCTAATTTTGACAGCTGTTTATAAAAAAAATATGATGTAAACAAGTCATGATTGTAGGCATGATCTATATACTAGAAATATGCTTCTAGCCATCACAATTTATAATGTCATGATCAATTTTTACATGCAAATAACAATGTACTGCTAGACAATAATATAATTTCTGAAAATCAATTAACACAAAAACATACGTTACAGCACATAATGAATCGTCAAAATATAGCTGTTAAAGTTTCAGCACAACTTTACAACAGTACTTAAATGTAAGTTTTGTAAGCAATTTTATAGTTCTTAATTAATTTGGATAGTAAATAGATCATGTTTACGAAAATTATTTGTAACTTGGGAACATCATGCCTGTTCCTAATGCAATATATAATGTCCTGAAACATGTTGCCTGTACCCACTACAATAGATAACATCTTAAAATATGCACCTGCACAACTACTTTATATTGCAATGTATATCATGTAATCTAATCCCTTTTACTTGAGCTAATTTAATGCTGAAAGGTTAGGAGTACCGTTGATACCATCGCCTGTGGCAGTACTCGTAGTGCTCACAATTTCCATAACGACTCGAGGAATGATGTCAGAATGTAAGTTTTCTAGTTAGTGTGTGGAGCTAATACCTGCTTACTTAGGGTAAATATTAGGTGGCCCCCCTCACTTCTACATAACATAACATGAAATTGCTGCTGGCACTGATGGAAATCTAACCATGATATTGTGAATATGGAATTGATGGGTCCTTGAAGGATGGGCAGAGCAATGTAAAAGATCTTAATGATCCCAATACATTAATTTCCAAGAGATCAAGAATATTGTGTGCTTGATTTGTATGAAGCATACGGTTATATCACTATCCAAAACTTAAAAACTGTACTGTGGAGCATTGCAACAAATCTCTGTGTGTATGGTGTGACATTGTTTGCAATATCATAAGTTGTTTGTAAAGTAATCTCTGCTTCACCTTTGATAGTATGCCATAGGTATCAACAGCTGCGTTGGTTCACTGAATGATGCATATGGATTTGAAAACATCATAACATTGTCTTTCTAGATAAACTGATTTTCTTGCAACACTAATATACTTATTCGTGTGTTCTGCCACCATAGGGATTGGTTGCTGCATTATGCATCATTATACCTGCCCATTGCCCGGAGTTATGAGGTTCCCATTGGCTATTAGTCATATTAATGTACAGTCAAAAGTCGTTAATCCGGACTCGTTGGGACTTAGGCGATTCCGGATTATCAATTTTTCCGGATTATAGATCATCAGTTTAAATCTGGTAAGATGGCATGCAGAAATTATAAAATTAAAAATATGAAACCATAATTTATGAAATAAAGAACAATTGTGATCTAAAGGGTATCAAAATTTACAAAAAAAAAAGGTTAATATTTATTTGTTTACTTTATTAAACATTTCTTTCAATGTAAGTTGTTTAAGTTGCTTCATTTTATGTGATAATACTTTCTCTTTAATTCTATAAACAGACATAATTTCTTCTTCAGTAACAAAGTTCCGCTGTTCAAGTCGTATAATTGCTGTGTCGAGAATACCGACTAGTTTGTCAATCAAAATTTTTTCGTTTTCAATAACCTCTGTGTCACTTTCTTCACTATCGGAAGCGAATTATAATGACGAGGATTTGATTTAAATCATATCAAAGACGGAGTACATCAAGATGAAGTACTGCATTTAGTAAGGAATTATAAGCCAAATAAAATAAAAACATCTGCCCTGAAGATAAGGATAGTGCTGACAGATCAACTTCCAATTCATTGCACTCCGCGGCGTCCCCCCCCCTTCCGCAGAGCGGCGTGAAATTGATAAACAGATTTCGGAATGGTTAGAGAAACGAAGGATATGCCTTTATCCATTTTTTGCAGCAATTCCACTTTTGTTTAATGGACTTCGAAACATACTTTCGCTTTGTAGATCCTTTACATATTAGTAAATATATATCGGAAATTCTATTTGACATAATCGAAAGTTCAAGCTTACTTTTATAAAATTGCTCTAACAGTCTGCAAAAAATAATAAGCCGGATCCAATTCGAAGATTAAGGAACAATGCAATCTGCAACATTAACTGAATTAGATAATTTTAGCTTAGCTTATACCGTCTGTTATACATTAAACGCGCATTCGTAAACGTATTATGCGCATGAACGCATGCATATTCGCAGCTGTAAAGGTCTTACGCGCATGCGTCAACATGATACATGCGCAGAAAGTTTTTAGCTTTGAGGTTCGGATTATGGGTGTCCGAATTAACGACTATTGACTGTATAATATGCATATCCAATACTCTGACCATTACAGAGATATTTTATACCTTCAGGACATTTGTGGAATCTCTTGTTAGCCAACAAATAACTCCCTGTCTTCTGGAAGTATCCAGTGTTTCATCAGAATCACTTGTTTATGGATTTTTTATCAATTCAACACATTTGATGCATTCTTGCATAAAAACTGACAGCTGCAGTAGAGGAATTCTGGAAAAAATTGGATCTTCATCCAGTGCAGTAGCCCAGGCTGGGATTCAGAATCAGTATCTCTTATATCCCACAGTGTATTTTGCTGATGGTGACTGTGTATGTTACTGATCTGTGTGGGAAAACTACTGAAACTTGATTTTACTTCATGTATTATACTATTTATGAAATAAATGTGGTTTTGTTATTTTTTGTCCTTCATGGTTATGCAAACCAAATGGCCAGGAGCTGACAAGTAAGGGGGGGGGAATAATTGATTGAAAATAGAGGGACTTTCTTTCTTTATTTGAACGGCTGATTTTTGTATACCTAATTTATATTAGTTGAAAAAAGGGTGAAAAATTCTGCACTATTATAGAAAAACTGTTTTGTTTAACTCTTGTTGCAAAATTTCCATATTTATTTACTATTGTTGTAACTTTTAAGGAAAATACTATTTTAGTGTTTATTAAAATATAATATATATCTTTTACTTTAAGTGTTATTTGAAACTGAAGACTGTAATGCTTAAATGCAATTTTTTTTTAAGATTTAATATGAGTTTTAAATAAATGTTTGTACTAAATTATATCAAATTTTATAATTAATATCTTACATGTTTGTTTTCTTTATCTCAAGTCAATGATTTAATACCTCAAAACAACTGTATATTTAGATACCTTTCTTTTTCAGGTTACATAGAAACTGGATAGCAAAAGTATTTTGCAACTGCACATTCATCACAAAGTTATAATTACATAAAAAATTTGTAAATAAAATTAATTTTGAATATTTTATCATTTTAACTTTCTTTTAATAAAAGGAATTATAAAATTATTTAAGCCTTTTTTATTTTAACAGTAAATGCTATTAATAATTATCATATATATATATATATATATATATATAAAACACTCCTGAAGTGTACAAATGTACATTTTGATTTTTTGTTTTTTCTCTGTGATTGTGAAAGCAGTTTAGAAGCAAACTATGCAACTCATTATAAAATAAAAATAAATGTTTTATTAGTAAATTACTCTAGTTACTAAGAGGTTTGAAAATAAATATTTTGTTATTTCTTTGAAAAAATGCAAAGTAATTATGTAATTTTCCCAAAAAAATCCAGTGAAAACTATGTTAGAATTTTTTACTCATGACTTATGTGATAGTTCATTGGTTTCCCCCCCCCTCAATTGACTCAATAAGAAAATTATTGCTGTGGTTTTAGATTTTATAAATGAGTAAATTTATTTTTAAAATAGTAAATATAAATAATAATTTTTAGGAATATTTCAGTATTTCAAATATACCTTAGTTTATACAATAGTTTTCCAATTCTGTATTCTATATCTTCTCTTTAACTGATAATCCTGAGCAAAACAAAAAACCTCCTCCCTCTCTTGTAATAGAAATGCTTATTGGGTCTTTGCATATGAACTTATGTTTTTATGTTATAATGCAGAATCAGCTAACTAATAATAGTTATTCTTAGTTTAAGTACTTGGGCATATTGGTTCTTTATAATTTTCACTTTAGTCTCAGGAAAGAAAATACTTCCTTTTGAAATGTTATGTTAATTTTTCACACTGTAGCTTGAATAAAGGAAGGACAGATCAAACATATTGCATGTTAAGAGAGAATTTTAGGGTAAAAAGTTTTTTGTTCTACTACTTAACACTACTTACTACTGTCCTAATATATGGATGTAAATATATACATATATGTTTATCCACATAGTGCAAAAAAATTTTATTGTAAGCATATTATTTAAGCTAAATATACATATAATGAAATTAATTTGATTAGTAATATACTAGGATTTTATATTAATAAAATATAAATGTAACAATATGAAATAAATTTAAAAATTAGTAGCCTTTAACAAAAGAAACCTATTTTTTCCTTCTGCTTTTTTTTCACGATTTCATATATTTATTGTAGAAACTTGTCAACTCTGCTTCTCTGTATCTTTGATCTATGATACTGCTTTGCTGAAAACTGTGAAAATTATATACTGTATATACAAAACTCAATTAAACCGCGAGCACACGCACTAATCCGACGAACACGAGAACATGCACCGGGTCTGTCATACCCGAATAAAAAGTTTGTAATTAAAAATTTGCCAAATAAAATTAATCGGTTTTTAAAAGAAATTAAAATGTAAAACCAAGTTAATGCTTCATTTTAGACAAAATTTGAAAGAATAAGGAGAGGTAAAGTTATTTACTTACAATTTTTTGAACATTGTTTACAAAATGAGGTCATATGTTCCATACATGTACTTTTGCTACAATTTTCACAAATGAATGTAGTCTTTCTATCTTTTTTCTTGGGGCACTCTGTACACCTCTTGTAAGTAATTTTAGGTTTTTTTGGTTTTTGAACATTGTTAACATGTTCATCGGTGGTCAGTGTTTGACTAAAATCAGGAACTACAGATGCTCGTCGTCGTTCATTTTGAACACTTTCTATTAGCTGCATCCCTAAGGCTTTGAGAAAAGTACGCCTGGTACGGTATTCCGTTGGTGGTTCCTTCTTTGATAGTAGAATTATTCTTGCATTAATGGCAGCCACGTTTAGCACTGAAAAGAAAATCACCATAGGCCATCGACGTGCTACTCTTGCTGTAGAATACGCAGCTGCCATCTCATCTACAACATCGACCGACTGCTCCTTTTGTCATGTTATAGAATGTAATGATTTCAGGGCTTTTTAGATTCCCCAGTAGATTCATCGATTTGGTCGCCGGAATGCATTGTGTATAACGGGATAACACTCTCTATGTTTTTTTTTTTTTCGGCACATAAGATACAAGTGTTGCTTCTTTCTGAAAACCGAAAATTGAAGAATATACTTCTCTTTTCTTTGCCAGAAACTCAGGTGGGATTTCTCTCTTATTTTTTTATGCATTGTACCTACTATCGTAATTTTCTTCTGTAGGAGATCTTGAGATAATTCATATCCCATATACCAATTATCAACTGTTAAATTTCGACCAGAGTTGTATAAGGGCCTTATTAAACATTTGACAACTTCGCTTGCATCATTTTCAACTTGATATGGCCCATCTGGTTGTTTACCAGCATAAATTTCCATACTCCAGGTATAAAATACCCTTGCGTCTACAAGAGCAAATATTTTTATGCAATATTTTGCTGGCTTGTTGGGCATATATTGTTTGAAGGAACAATGACCTCTGAATGATTCCAACTTCTCATCAATGGTCACATACTCTTCTACAGTATAAGCCTTTTGGCAATTTGTAACAAAATTTCCAAAAAATTCTCTGATCGGAGCTAATTTATCAACATCTCTTCTACTGGGACGATCTCTAATGTCATCAAAACGGAGGCATCGTAAAAGAAAGAGGAATCGGTCACTGACATTGTTTCCTGAAATATGTCCATTCCTGTTCCGTCTGTTGCCCACAAATCTCTTAGGTTCACATGGGATGATTTATAAACTCCACATAAATACAGTAATCCAATTAAAGCTTTGATTTCCAACTCATTTGTTGCTTTCGCATCCTGTTCACGAGTGACATTTCCACATACTGAATCAATATAAATATCTGTATTGTTGACTACATGTTTTAACATATCTTCATCAATAAGCAGTGACCAGGAATCTAAAAGTGTTGAGACGTCTTTAGAATACTTCGTATTTCCAGGGAGTTTAGTTATAATTTTTTTGGCGCCAATTCTAACATTAGTCCAAAATTTATTTTTGTTCCATTTCACTCCATTTTTTCCAACATAAAACTCATTGCTACATTCCAAAGTTTCATTTTCTGTTTCTGTATTTGAATCACTACTCTCTATGGATGAATCATGATTACTATAATATTCTTCGTCATCAACATCTTCATCGTCTTCACTAAATGAATCCTCATCAGAAGAGAGTGTTTCAAGAAGATTTCTCTATCTTTTCATCTCTTCATCGTAAAGAATATACGGCGCCATGCTTACAAGTCAAGAAAAACCTATACTAAAAGCTTGAAAACGAGAAGTGCGAAGTGACTCACTGAGAAACGCGAGTACACGCGCGGGTATGACATGCCCGAACAATGTTTTTCCTAAATAAACATTGCATCTGTCACCTCAGGAATTTCCCCCACTTAAGTATGTGACCTTGAACTCAGCTACACCAAGTTTCGTCCTTTTATGAAAGAATGGGTGAGAAATATACAAAAAGAAAAATGCACATGGGTATGACATACCCGTCGCATGTGCTCGCGGGTTAAAATATCATGTTTGGTAAATATTGCTGATTTTTCTTGGATCTCATTCAGAAAACTAAATAGCAGCGCTAGCTTGAATATGAATTTGATCATATATTTCATTTAGAAACTTAATTAAAGTGTTTCGTTAAAAAAATAGGTACTTTCATGATAAATTTTGTTTAGGGATGCAACAGATATCAATTTTGCCAGATACCAAATATTCAGCTTGATTTTAAACTGGGTATTTAACTGCAAGATGAGAAATTTATTTTAATCACATTTTGTGTAAAATGCTCTTAAAGTTAATGAATGACATTTTATAACACACTGAAATTATTAAAAGGTCATTGATTGTTTGTAAATGGGAAAATATAGAATGTTTTTGAAAAGGAGATTTAGAAGAAATTATTTAAATTTTGATTAAGAGTAACTAATAATAATACATTAGTTTATTATGAAAAGCTGTGTTTATTTCAATTATAAAACAAATCAGAATCTGATAGAACTCACTGGGAACTTTTGATTTATTATAGATATATAACTGAGTTGTCTAGAGGATTTCTATTTAAAATGTTTGTATTTGAATACTAAAAAATTTGCTTAAAATTTAAATCAAATTAAAAATATGCTGTTTTTTTATTGCAAAAGTAATAGCCGTAATTCTTAATACATTTATCCCACTGATACAAGACAGTCAATGAATTTTTTATTGTACCCAGGCGTGCACATCTGAAGCAAATTCATGGCAATGAATGTCTTTCTTCAGGCTTCGAAAATGTGGAAAGCGCAAGGGGGGAGATCTGGACTGTATGGAGGAAGTGCAAGCACTTCCCAACAAAACTTCTGCAGCATAGCGTTAACAACTGTGACAACATGTGGGCAGGCATTATCTTGTCTTGCAACGGGTGTTTGGTCTTCTTGTCATGTTTAAATTTTTGCAAAGATTCCACCTACAAGTGTGCATTAATTATGGTGCCGTGTTCCAGAAAGTCAATGAGCTGTGGGTCCTTGCAGTCAAAGAAAAATAGCGGCATGACTTTATCAAAATTGACATATGTGCAGTTTTGATTTTTTTTTTTTTTTGTGTGTGTGTGTGGGGGGGGGGTGAACCTGTATGCTTCCATTGTTGGTTCTGACGCTTACTCTCTGGCTCAAAATGATGGCACCATGTTTCATCAACAACACATGACAAGAGACAATATTCTTCATCAAAATACCGTTCCAGGTTCTGCAGTGATGTCGACATTCTGTTCAACTTCTGCTCCTCCATCAGGCTGTGGGGAACCAATTGTGCACAGATTTTACGGAACTTCAGATGCTCAGTCAAGATGGCATGACCAGTACCATGACAAATACCCAACTTAAGCCAAATAGGCTCCACCGTCTGCCATTGATCTTTCTCTGATGGCAACATCAGCACAACAATGAAACAAAGGGTAGTGACATAATGAGCAGGTATGAGTATTGTAATTTACACTGTGTGTAAATTAGAAGTCTGCACAATGAGTTTCACATTTCAAAATCACATTTGAATATTGTTTGTTAGTGTAAAGGTCGCATAAGAATTAGAAGCTTCTAACAGCAAATGTGGGAATTCAACCACAGCAGAAAT